CCAGAGTTCAACTATGTTCCTTCTTATTTTGGTTGGTATTAAATGTTGGTCAATAAACAAGACATTATCAAGTTGAACCCACTTCAAGTGTTGATTCTTTGCCAAAATTGAGTAAAACGTCACGATTTGGAACATATGTTTTATTGTAATATTATAGATAATGATTACTGTGAAATACTTTATTTTCGCTGGAATTTATTTTCGCTGAAAAGACTTTTTGGGTGTTTTATATAGAATTTATTTTCACTGATTTTTGATGGGTTTAATGTAAAATATAGGAAAAAAGGTATATTCGCTGGATTTTATTTTCACTGAATCATTCCTTCAGCGAAAATAGCGAAAATTAATTCCAAGCGAAAATAAAGTATACTACAGTACTTGAATTACTACTGAGTGGCCAGTTGTTTTCTCGGGAATCAGAGTTTTGCTCTATTTTTTAGTTTTATTAGTTGACCTGGGGGCAAAAAACTTGGGGTCAAAAAATATCATGTGGTGTGAATCAAATATTGTGGAATATTGCAACTGCTGAAATAGAAAATTACGGATATCTGAGCTGCTCATATGATATTTGTTGTTATTTTTTCTCAGTGGAAGTCTGCTCTCTCTCAGTTGGGAGAATTAGAGATACAGGTGAATAATGTACTGGAGCGACAGAAACATACAAAGGTATGTAGTCATCATGTGTAGAAACTGCATCTTCAACTTACTGCCATTGTAAGGAATGAGCCATTTGAAATTTTGAGGTCAAGATGGAAAAAAAAAAATTGTAGCCAGATTATATATTCATGAAAACGTATTTTAATCACAAATCTTCAAGACCCATAATTACAATTGGTCCACTTCTAGTTGGCATTAAAAAGACTTGTGATGCAATTGTATTGATATCTACGTAGCAAGTGTTTCTTTCGAATTGCTGGGAACTTTTAATGAGATGAGTTCTCAAGAGTTCAGATGTTATAAATGACTTCCTTATTCAGAAAATGTACAATACCCGGTACATTCAGATACTTGTCTCCGTTCACATCGAAAGCAACACCCCACATAGCAATCTACATAGCAATGAACTGTGCTTGTGATGGAAATTTAATCTCATCATTCAGGCATGATTTGTGTTACTGTAAAATACTTTATTTTTGCTTGGAATTAATTTTCACAAACCACTCAAAAAGTCGTTTCAGTGAAAATTAATTCCAGCTAAAATAAAGTATTTTACAGTATTTGTTTTTTCCTTATTTATGACTACATTCAGGAAATGTGGTATAATTATAATAAGTGATCTTATGGACAGATTTACTGCCTGACATTTCGTAGTCCTGTATTTCGTCTTTATGTGACTCAATGTGTTGTGGTGTTGATTGTTAGCCTGAAAATGATAAAATAAGTGAGGGAGTTGTCACCTGCGTATGCGTCAGATGGCCATAGCATGTCAATGTTTACAAACAAACGTGTTGTTATCGTCGCTTGGGACTCAATTCGCATGCGTGCACAGGTGATGACCCTCCTGCTTTAAGTGGGGCACACAGAAATTAACGATTGGGTCAGTGGAGTCAGCTTTATTCTTTCCTGCATGATAAAGTATTTAGTAAGGCTGCAGTATATAGGTATACGTGTCATAAATCATGTTTACTTTCATAGCAGGGCAGAGCTAGAAAGTATAACTACCTGAGATTTGACACTGAGGAGAGAACACTCACAGGTAAGACTGTCAACCTTTTAATATACAAATGCTTTCCCAACTCAGAAAAATTAAGTTGTAATACCGGTAATATCATTAGTTTATGATTTTTACTTTGTAAGTTTTTCATGTATATGAGGATAACATCATAGTTCTGTCCAAAAAATATTAATTAAAGTTTATCAGAATCATAATTTGATCAATCTTTGAGATTGATTGGTAAATAGCTGGATATTGCGGCTGTATAGAAATTAACATAGTGAGTTCATTGTGTCAGGAGCCATGTTGGTTACAGAGTTACATGTGTGTGGTACCAGCTGGGATAGGATTGAAACCACTGATCTGATAAGTGGACTAGCTCTCTGGTCCATAGCAGAAATTGTCGTTATTATGATTTCATTGTTTTGTTTTAGGTAATCAACTTGAACCTGTATCCAGTAGCGACCATGCATTATGTGAAGTCTCTCAATTGATACACGAAGATTTTGCCATGTCAGAAACCACTACAGATGTCACCCTAAGGTAGACATACCCTCATGTGTTAAATTGTACGATGATATACCAGGATGAAAAAATGTATTAGGGCAAACTGTCTTTCAATATTGTCCTCGTTGTCAACAATTTTTTGTGTAACATAAGTGTCAGTCGTTTTATCAGTTTTATCATCTTCTTTCGTTTCAGAAATTGTTTTACCACAGTGTATGGCAAGCACACTTTGTCTCACGAAACCTACTTCCAACCGAAGGACATTATCCGCCCAAGTCGAGGTGCTCCATCAGCTCAAGACCCAGCCCTTTTATTAGAGCCCACAGCACACCAGAAACTACAAAAGGACTACAATATTAGATTACTGTAGTCATATTATGACTTTCCTGTGTGTTTCATTGGTCACTGGCTCATAGGACGGCGTGCCGTGGCATTCCCCACCGACTATCAGCTGAAGAACGCCACCATGGAGGAACAAAATGAATCGTCATTTACGTAATATTTCTACGCTACAGAGGGTGCTATATTTGATGTTTGTTTGTCAACCATTTCTTAACTCCACACCTACTGATTTATAATTTATAAACTGCGGCAATCACATCTCTGTGTATTTTTCTTTACAACCAAACATTTTTATGCCAGTACTTCAGTCCTTACCTCATAAACCCCTCATTTTTTTTGGGGGGGGGGGACAAATTTGCATGAATTTCGTGATTCTGAGATCTAATGGCAGAATGCAGTTAGCATAAAGAATATACTCACTTTTGACTCCATTGAAACAAATATTTCGCCTTTAGCAGCCATTTTGAAATTTTTCTCTGATTTTTGAAAAGTTAATTATAAAGAATGGCTCCACAAAGAAATGTTTTAGAAAAAAAAAAGTGTGCCTTTGATGTTTTTGTTGACCCTTTGAATCTATTCTGATCTAGAAATGTGTTACTATAGCAACTGTAGGGGACATGAGTGACATTTGAACTGATACTGAGTATCTTTCATATATGTCTGTTTTATAAATTCATTCAAAAATATTGGCTGGTTTCCTACCATTTTATTTACTTTTTTTTTTTTAAATAAGACTGTTATTTAATATGCGATACCTAAATATGCATGCATGGAGTGTGATTTTTATATGCTGTAAAAACATATTTCTTAGTTCATTTACATAATTTATTTAAATCTGTATAACATTTTAATTAAATAGGATGTCCCTGTGTCTAGAAAATATAAGAATAGTACAATTTAAACTTGCTGTTCTTGTTATATGTTTGATGTATGTTGGATAGAAACAGTGATTCATAATAATGTGTTGTTGCAATACAGTAGTAAATTATAATAATATACAAGTATACTGGTATATGTGAAGAGGCTACATGGGGGGGCTATAAAAAGGCGGTGGCTTGTAAAGAACTAGTGCATTTACTAAAGAGTCTCAAATCATCAGGGAATTGTTCTTGTTCGGGGGGAGGGAGGTTTCAGTTGTTTCATTTTTATTTCTTACTGTGCAATTGTGCGTCAAAAATAGCAACATCAGAAAGACACCAAACCGTAATGAAGCGTATTTTTTTTAAGAATTATGCAAGGTAGTGAATAATCAGTGAAATGTATTAGTTATTTCCAGTGTGTTTAAACTTTCAATTCCTTGCCAATGTAGACTGTGACTCTGCCATGAGCACCTTGGCGAGAACTCCTGTGTCCAGCAGTATAATATCAAATATCACTGAGGGGAGCATAACAAAGGCAGAGAACAGAGACTGGAAATCAAGTCTACAGTGTGACGCTATGATGATGTCTGCTTGTATAATTTTGGATATTGGCCCGAGACAAAATTGGAAACAGATGATTCCTCTAAAAAGAATCGTCTGTGATATTTGAAAAAACTCACATTATATTTCATTCAGGGACCAGGTAAAATGGTCTCATATTACCGGTATAAGGCAATGATCACCGCCTACTTTGAAATTTTGTAGACATAAACAATCTGACCCCCACCTTGCTATGTGTAGTATGGGACCAGCATCGAATGCACCTGGTCTCAATGACGCACGCCCTTCAAATAAGAAAATAATGTTCATTGAATACCTACTGCAAAGAAACCCAACACTTTTAAAAATATTAAGACACGTGTTTAATTTTCAGTACTATGATTGTGCAGAATAGATGTTTACACATTCTTTTGTGTTTTAATGTTTTTTACTTTAAAATATACTTGTATGTTGATACATGGTAATAAAATCAATTGAAGTATAATTAATGCATTGTGTGATATTATTCATAATAATTAAGTATTTAGTTTTTTTTCATCCAACGTATTATATACAGTTTGCTGTGAAAACAACATTTTTATTTTACGACAAATCATAATCATTAGTTGGTTTAATAGGAGCCACGGTTTTGTATCAACACGCACTTTTAAAAAGTATATATTTTCGTCCATAGTGCCCTACTAAGGGTGTAATTTTGTAAGAAGTTTAATATTCCATGTATCTCTTCAGCTCAACTCCAGAGTCAATGTAATTTGATTAAATTGTTAGGCATGTGACCTTTATTTTGTGCTTCCCTGCATGGACTAGGGTATTATATTTTATCCAACCTGTTGATGAATGTTGTATTGTGGTAGGTAAAGCATTAGGGAATGGAAGCAATACAATGACATCAGTTCATGGTTTGGTTTAATCACAGTCTTATAATCTTTAAGCCAATGTTGGGTTCTATCCTAATTGTGAGGGAATGTTACCATTCCGTTCTTTGGACGAACAGTGGTATTTGTAGCATATAAATTACAGAAATGCATGTTGTGATTCGTTATTGCGAAGAAATCAGAATATATTATCTGCTAGTTTGTATATTTCACGTTTTGCATGGTCTGCTGATGTATTATTTTTTTGCCTAGCTCTACAAAAATAGGATGTGTGGTGGTGCTTGGATGCTAATGAAAACTGACCAGCAGGGCATTTCTTTGAAGTTCTCAATTTTCCAGAGACAATCACTCATTTCCTCCAGCCTTTAACTTGTTTTTATACTCTGTGGGTGGGACATTGACATAGTTGAATAAAATACCCCTTCAATTTCAAATCTTGTAAAGTGAAAAAAAAAAAATTGCATAATTGACAGTAAATGAATTGTGCTGAGAATATTCTAGGCATATTTAAAATTAATTCAAAATTTAAGGTTAGCCTTTCAAAAATCCAAAATCAAGCTTAAACCCTTTGTGTGAGCAAAATTTGCCCCTCAAAATGCAGGAAATAGCGTTTCAGAAGGTCTAGATTTCAACTTTTTTAAGGGGAGCATGCCCCAGACCCCCTAGTGAGGGCGCGCCTTCGGCGCAACTTTGGTGAGCAGATCTTGCCCCCCCCCCCCATGCAAAATTTCCTGCCGTCGCCTCTGGATTTGTATAACTTAAATATAAATCGCCAGGATAAATCGAAATATCAGATTTGTTTACACAGACGTGAACGTACAGATTGAGCGGCAACAATCCTAACTGATAATGATAATATATTCTGATTTTAACGAACCTACAGGGACCCCGGATGTAACTCCGCGTCAGGTATTCTATTCATATAGTATTAGTCGTATATTTTGTAAATTTGATTTGAAACAATACAGTAAATTGCAACTAATTCCGAAATATTCTAGTTTATGTAAAAGTATGAATGACTAACTGAGTCAAACGAATTCTAACTACATGAAAATGGGACTTGGACTTGGACTTGGACAACCGCCATAGAGGGCGTCAACTCAAAGTTATTCTCTGAATCCGATTTCACAGGAAGTTACGTTAGTTTTCCGGGAAATGAAAACAAAAAGTTGAATTTACATTTCTGTACGTGCTGTTGAAATCGTCAAATAACAAAGCAGAAATGTTTGACGCGCTATTTAACCAGAATTAAGCAGCAACGGCCCAGCCCGACCCCACCTAGCTGTATGTTAGGATATGTGAACAATCTTCTAAATTACTGCGTCCGAAATCGGTTTGGCTATAGACCTTACACTTTGCTTATGTTTTCTAAGGTCCATGGTTTGGCCAACTTCCAACATTTTCTCAAATACAATTAATGTTTTGCGGGCTTTCTACTTATTAAGTAAGAGTGAAATAATTATTACTTTTTTTTGTTAGTTTAAAAATACATTTTTTACTCAGTGCGAATACAGTAGTTATAAATGTAGCGAAGTGTGAATATTCCGAGTATATATATATAATTCGCCAGGAATATCGATAGACAAAGTATTAGGTTTTATATATATAACAAAAAAGTACTAAAATACTAGAAATATAAATAGTAATTCGTTATTATTTGTATAAATGTAAGTAAGTTACTCACACTTAGCCGGCTTAACTGTACGGCGCATGCGTGACATGAAATATTTACAGTGTGTATACTCATGGAAGGCAGTACTGCATGCCATGGTATAATCAAATTTACAAACGGCGAATGAATCATTTGTAATCTATTTTTAGCCACACTACGTCGAAAAAACGATGACACAAACGAGACCATGCATTTGTATAATCCTGTTTAAAATAGCATAAACTAATCTTATAAATATTATCTATAAAAGTACGCACGGTGCAGACACCCTGTTCAGTGGAGCGATCTGTTGGCACCGCGTATGCAACGCACAACGACTACCAAATCATAATAATTCCCGATAACACTTGCCATCAATATTTAAACACTATTCGTCCAAACTGTATTATTCCCCGATGCCAGGACAAATCTGTAAGTACATTTTGTTATATATATGTTTGTACATGTTTTAAAATATAAATTACAGCGCCCAGTCGTGGCTCGGCATTGTGTTCGTCGTGGAATATATTGTTATATAGCGTTATTTTGCTGTTACAACAAGGTTGAGGGCATCCCTATTTATTTTCGTCAAATAAAACTTTATACAATTAATAGGTAGATGGAAATATTGGACAAGCTTTCAGTAGAGGTAAAAACTATAGGGACTGATAAATATAATTTAGATTATACTGGTATATTGTTTTAGTCACTACCTTTATAACGAATTTCTTGATATAATGAACATATTGCACATCTCCCACTCATAACAAATCCAATGTATTATGTGATTCGTTATAGTGAACACTTCGCTATAACAAACTCATTGTATATGCCCTCAAAAGAGGTCGTTATAACGAAGTTACAGTGAGGGTGATCGTACTCCTTGGTAATATAGAGGGTTAAAGAATATTTATAAAACCCGTGAACACGTGCTCTCGGTGCAACAAAAAACATTCCATTCGCCATTATATCAATCAATCAATCAACTATTTGTTTTACCTAATATTGTATCTTTGTAATTTACAAAACAACAGAAACTAGGTATGGAAATCAGAAATAGCCGATGCTAATCTAGTCTGATTATATATATTTATAAATTTCACAATTTCAAACTCTAATGAGAAATTTCTATTGGCCGATTAAATAAAATTGGAACATTTCAAATTACGTCGTTGTGCACCGTGCTCTTTGATTGGCTTGTTTGATTCAACT